CTGTATGCATAAGCATGTGCTGCTGTACATGTCCAAGTTGATTGAATCTTTTCCCACACTCTGCACACTCATGAGGTTTATACCCTGTATGCACAATCATGTGTTCTTTAATATCTCCAAGACAGCTGAATCTTTTCCCACACTCGGGACAACCATGAGGGTTCGTCATCTTAATTTGTAATGTTTGCGTTAAGGTTCTCTACTAATGATTTTGGATATGTCTTGATATAATGTCTCTTGGAGGTAGTTGGATAATTAAGCTAAAGTGGTCTTATGGTTCACATATGGCTTTTCATAGTCTAGGACAATTCAGTCCAATTTCTTTCTTTATTATGCCCCCAATACCCCTAGTCAGATATTTCATCCATCACGTGAGCGGTGGTGTAAAGGGTTACTGAGGAACTTAATCGATTCAGGAACTGAACCCCCTACACAAAGCTTATTAGGCATTCATCGAGGCCCTCCACCCCCCCCCCCCACCCTTAGGCTAACTACTGATCTGGCTGATTAATCTAAGAAAATTTTAAGTAGGTAAATACTTGCAAAATATATAAAAAATAATAACAGTTACATAGCAAGAAAAAAATAAAAGACAAGAGAAAATTGTAGGTATATTAAGCACATAGGTAGCTCAGATTGATTGCCGTGACAGCTTGAATGGTAGTTTAACAAAAATTAGTAGGCACAATACAGCATATGGCTAGCACATAATAGAAGACAGCAATGAACACAATGATAAAGTTGTTTGGGTTAAGTACATAAAGATTGGGAGATTGGGTAACACTAGATACAGAGCAAATTTAAAGCTCAGTGTAGGAAACTACGAAGATGAAATTAGGTACTTTTTGGTTTTGTTTTTAAATGAGGCAAAACTTTGACAGCTTTTAAATTCACTAGGGAGTGAGTTCCATAGACTAGGTCCCTTAATTTGCATAGTGTTTACACAGATTAAGTTTGACTCTGGGGATATCAAAGAGATATTTATTTCTGGTGTGGTGATAATGGGTCCTATTACATCTGTCCAGGGAGAGTTTCAGAGCATGGTTTGCATTTAAGAACAGGGTTTTGTAAATGTAGTTGACACAAGACAATGTGTGGAGGGAGTTAATATTTAGCAAGTTAAGGGATTTAAACAAGGGGGCTGAGTGTTGTCTGAAAGCAGAGTTAGTTATTATTCTGATAGCAGATTTTTGCTGCGTGATGATAGGCTTAAGGTGGTTTGCAGTGGTAGACCCCCATGCACAGATACCATAATTAAGATAGGGGTAGATTCGTGTATAATATAGTGAGAGGAGAGCAGAGTTAGGAACATAATATCTGATTTTAGAGAGTATTCCAACTGTTGTAGAGACTTTCTTAGTTATGTGTTGAATGTGGGTGCTGAAGTTGAGTCTCTTGTCTAGGAATAGGCCAAGAAATTTTCCATCATTTTTATAACTGATGTTAATGTTGTCTATCTGAAGCTGAATTGCATTCGATGATTTGCTTCCAAATAAGATGTAATAGGTCTTTTCTATGTTTAATGTTAGTTTGTTAGTTGACATCCATAAGGGGACTTTTTTTAATTCATTATTCACAACATTATTTAGTGTGTGTGGGTTGGGTCTGAATAGATGAGGGTAGTATCGTCAGCAAACAATATAGGTTTAAGAATATTAGAGACATTAAGCAGATCATTGATATATATAAGAAATAGAAGAGGTCCTAAGATGCTGCCCTGTGGCACTCCAACGGTTATTGGTAGAGTGGAAGAAGTTATATCATTTATGGTTACACATTGGTGTCTGTCACTAAGATAGGATCGGATGTAGTCAAGGGCAAGGCCTCGGATTCCATAATGCTGGAGTTTAAGTAAGAGGTAGTTGTGATTAACAGTATCAAAGGCTTTTCTTAGGTCAATGAAGAGTCCAACCGGAAACTCATTTTTGTCAAGGGCTGAGTAGATTACGTCAAGGAGACTAATGATTGCATCATTGGTGCTCTTTTGGGGACCGGAAGCCAAACTGGCAGGGGCTGAGTATGTCGAATTTTACGAGGTAGGAATAGAGCTGTTTGTAGATAATTTTTTCAAATATTTTTGATAGAATGGGTAGATGTGATATTGGTCTATAATTGTTTATGCCCGCCGGATTGCCTCCTTTATGGACTGGCGTTACTCTTGCTTTTTTAAGGATATCAGGGAAGGTGTGACACTCTATAGATTTGTTGAACAGTAGGGCTATGGGTGGGGCAAGGGCATGGGAGGCGCTCTTGTATACAATGGACGGAATTTCACTGGTGTTCCCTGCTTTGGTTTTTAGAGAGTGTATGATGGACACGACATCTGCCGGGCTGATTGGTGAAAGGAGAAGAGAGTTTGGATAGCTGCCTGAGAGATATGTGTTAATATGTTTCTGAGTCTGTGGGATTTTACTGGCAAGGTTAGCACCAACCGATGAAAAGAAGCTATTAAATTCATTTGCGATTTCTAAATCAGTTGACGGTGTAGACCCATTCTTATAAAGTTTTATTTGGTTACGTGAGTGTTGTTTAGTTCCTAGGATACTAGAGATTGTTTTCCATGTGCTTTTCATGTTGCCTTTTGCTTCATTGAATCTATTCACATAACATGAAAGTTTTGCCTTTCTTATGATACTGGTAAGCATTGATGAGTACCTTTTAACTACTTCCTTTGTAACTAGGCCAATCCTAAGTTTCTTATGTACATATATATATATATATACGTATACATATATACAGTGTGTGAAGTGTCTGAGAATCCACTACTCCGGGCACCTGTTTAACAAGTCATTCCTAAGTGGAGTGCTGCCCACACAATGGAAACACGCAATAATTGTTCCCATACCTAAGCCCAATGACCCTGGTAATTACAGACCTATCAGTCTCGTGTCATATACTTACAAGATGCTTGAAAGGATCATCCTAAGCCGACTGTTGCACAAAATAGGCAGGTTAGGGCAGGGGGTCAATGGATTTGTTAAAGGACGGAGCACAGCAAATTGTATAGTTAATTACTTGGCTAATGACACGGCTAGGTATTCTGTATTTGTTGACATCAAAGGAGCCTTCGACAAAGCACAGGGGATTGCGATCCTGGACGAGCTTGCATGCATGGGTGTCAAGGGGAGACTCATGAAATGGGTTGAAGACTACCTCACAGGAAGGAAAGCCAAGGTTTGCTTCAATGGAGCAGTGTCCAGAACAATGAATATGGAACTCGGGACCCCCCAAGGCGGAGTCTTAAGCCCTACACTATTCAATGTACTTATGAACGCCATTGCAAATATGGATTTTCCGGAAGGAACAAAACAAGTGGGATATGCAGATGATGTCCTAATACAAGCTCCCACCTTGGGGAAAAATTGAACAGTCCATTGAAATCCTGGGAAGGAAAATGTATTGAACTCGGTTTCACTCTCTCCACAAACAAGACGAAGGCATACTCTCATCACAAGCGGAGAGCAAATGAAGAACTGCAAATTAATGGTGTAACACTTGAATGGGTTGACCACTATCGGCATCTTGGCGTCACTGTCGGCTCTAACAAGGGGAAGAAAGCACAATCAACTCATAGGAACATGCAAAAGTCGACTCAGGGCACTGAAAGCTATGACCTGGAATGGACATGGAGCCTCTATTGCCGTGCTTAAAATGATGTACACAGTCTATGTGTGCTCCGTCATAGACTATGCCGCACCAGTTCTATGCACCTACTCCCAAAGCGATATGAAAAGGCTTGAAAGCATTCAAAATGAAGCCAGGACAATCATTCTTGGAGTTCCAAGAACTGCCAAAACGTCTAATCTACGAGAGGAGTTGTCCCTTCCCAGTGTTAAAAGCAGAATTAAGGAGCTGAATGCTAAGCTTGCAATTAGGATAGCCAGAGATCCCTGTTAAAAATGGGAGTCTGTACTATGGGGGGATTTATTATAAAAGGATGTAGGGGCAGTAGTTAGCATTAAGAGTTATCAAATATGGGAGATCTAAAAGGCCCGGCCCCCAAGTAAAATATCCACAGTGAATATTAATTGGCTACACAATGTCAGTCTAGAGAATGATCAAAGATCTTCTACACAGGAAGAATGGATACTCCTTTACTAACTTACTTATTTATTAACCCCCTTAACAACCCCCCATATACATTCACACCAATAACAATAATAATAATTACTTTACCACACTATCTTACGTTAAAGCCTTGGTCCACATAAGCAGGATTACAAGGTTACACTGAGAAAAAGCAAGGGTAAAGTACTACTAGTGAAGCACTTGAAGTTTGGGCAGTTAGGGGGTAGTGAGCCCACGTGGTACCTTAACACAACACAACACTAATGGTACCCAAAACACTGGTAAATACTACCTAAGGTCTCCACCACTCTTACAAACCCAGAGTAGGCACACTTAAAAAAACACAGGACTCAACTTAATGGTACAGGAACTTAGATAAGGGAAATAAGTAAGAGGAAAGGGGGAGGAGTGCAGAGCAGCTCAGAAAAGTCTTGATCCACACGAACGCCAGTCAGAGAAGAGAGATCGTCTCCACTCTCCTCCCTCAGTTCACTCGCTGCCAGCAGGACTACTCAACTAATCGTACAGCATTCCTATCCCAAGTTTACTCAGGTTTACTTTACAAATGATTAGAAAGTATTAGTAAACATAGTTGGTGCCTATTTTATTATTTAATAATCAGCCCCAAGCTCAGTCTTTAAATGCTCTTTGAGAAACAAGAATAGTCTTATGTCTGGCAGGGAAGCTACAAACTTGATTTGATTTGAAACAAATGCAGCTCGCCATGCGTTCCCAATACTATAAGGTAGTTTATTTAGCTCAATTTTGACCTCTGGTTTCCACTGAGGAACCCAGGGTTGTAACAATCCCTATTATAATGATATTGCTAAGAAAAACTGAGCTCTGTGCTACTTTCAGGGGAAAACAGGAGAAGCAAAAAATGGCATCACAGATCAGTCTGCTACCTCGAAGAGCTTCACCTGCTTGAGCAAGCCCGTGAGCTCCTGCCTGTAGAGAGGTTACCTCCCTGGGAGGATGACTCATGCAAGATCATCATCAATGAATTGGCAATGAAAAAATCCAACATGTTACCACAAGAAATGAAGCACAAGTATCTCGAGGAAATTTATAAAGAAGCCAGAGATGAACTAGATCAAATCGACACTGTCGGTTTATCTAATCCTGTCAATGGAAGGGATGGTGCAGCATACACGGTAATCAAGGATAATACTTTCCAACGCAGAAATGAAGAAAAAGCACGTATTGAGAACAATGCCCCTTCAACGCAAGCAGAACTAACTGTCATTGTTATGGCGTTAAGGTTTCTTGAACGGAACACTAATGGTGCAGTGATTTGCACCGATTTAAAAGCAGCACTGTAAAGCCTAAGTAAAAATCGGGCAGAAAATCTTGCAACAGTCGCTGAAATTAAGAGAGCTGTGAGAGCACTTACCAAT